GCAAAAGCTCACATTTAACAAAGAAACAGGAGACCAAAAACCACAAAACCAAATGCCTAATATGCAATTTTATCCAGTTGCATGAACTACATAAACCGTTTTTCCAGTTTTCCAGTTCCCTGAAGCAAGCGTTTTGCTTGCCAGATGAGGAAGGCTAATGAATGAATGAATTTGTAATATAAAGAAGCATGCTGTAATTTTGCATTTTGCAGCTCATGCTATTGATGTCTGACCCTTTCCTTTTGTCTGCTTTGTGCTCATTGCTACGTTATCACAGTGAAATCAAAAACAGCTCATAGAGTGATTTTAGGTGAGGGCTTGAAGATAGAAATACATTCTGAGCTTTATGTTATATTCATTGCATGATTGCATTTTGGTGTTCAGATAACAACTTTTGAATGCACAAGTAGGATTATACCAATAAAAGTCAACCCAGATTGAAAACTGTGCAGACTGGTCTGAAATCAGGCAGGCAGTCATGTGAAAAAAAGTCCTCTTTTTTCTGAATTCTGTGGCTTTCGTGTGCTTAAAAATAACACTTTAATCTTCAGGGAATCTTTTTGTTGTTGCTGTTATAGCCTAAAGCCTACACCAGCCCAGCTATCTAAACCGTTAATATTTTAGTATCGGTAAAACTGTGTTTACTTATCAAAGCTGGCTCGCATCAGAGCTTCTGGAAAACCAGGTTCAGAGCAGGGCAGTGATGCAAGGTTTTAACAGCATCATTAGATCACTGTGAATGGGGTATGCCACATAAACACTGCCACACAATGCCAGGAAGCGGGGCTCTGACACGCAGCACCAATCTAATGCTTTACTAGTTGGAGTGGATTGCTCAGACACTGGCTTGTCAGTTTGTGGTCAAACAGACAAAGAAACAGGGGGCTGAAATGGATGGAAGCAGTCTGAAGGAGGCCTGATGACGAAAAGGCAGCAGGGCATGAAAAGCCAAAAAGTAGTTTGAATACACAAAGAGCAAAATACATTTATTCACCTCTAGGGTTTTAGGTTGGGGGCGGATTTGGAGTCTGACCTGAGTCTGGGTCAGGAATCCTTCTGAGCTGTGTTTATAATATTGTTCTTACAGTGTGTTTGTCGGTGGTGTGGAGTTAAAGAATGAACAATTTATTGAACTGAAGGCAAATAGTTTGTATCCTATCCCAGTGTGGCACACACATATTCTCCTTTGATGTTTACTGAACAGACATGCCACGAGCATGGGTGTCTTTTTATAAACATTTAAAACTTTATTTAGAACTCTCCAGAACACGTTTGCCTATGTTATTCACACATGCATACATATATAAGTACACACAATGGCCTCCAAAGGCACATGTGTCACGAAGTCTGTTAAACTTTGTATCTACACAGCTGTCCCGCAATCCGTAACAGTGTGCCAACATGTGCATCCCGTGCGTCAGGGGGCTATGTCGCCGTGTGGTCTTTGGCTAATGCTGTGTTTTCTTGCTGTCTTCAGTTAAGTTTGTTCTCACAGAGACTCGTGCACCAAGGCTATTTTTAGAAAAGCCTCATACTTTTGTTATCCTCTACTGACCATTGCCAGGCACACAGTTGTGTGTACATGTGTGTGTACCGTGTGCGGGCGTGAAGCTGGGCTTGGGCTATCAGAAGGAACAAAGAGGAAAAGGAGGAAAACAGAAGAAAAGTAGAACTAATACCTAAGAATACATTTTTAATGCTTTTATATTATATTTTTTACTACTCAAAACCAAATTCTTTGTATTAACAGTGCTATAAAGTTTGCTAAAACTGAAGTTTTGAGGCTCTTTGGGAGTTACACATAAAGTCAGATGGTGTTTGGTGCTAATATTCCACAGGTTTGCAAGTAGCTTATATCAACAAACTGTAATAATATTTTTCACTGGACGACAGGACCATGGCCTCATAAAAAATATTTCCGTTTCATTTATTTAAAACATAGACATTTTATTTTAAACATAAACGCCCCTGTTGCTCTGACGCTGTTTCCTATGAAAGGCTTATATTCAGGTAGACAAGTGGTAATTTGTTGAAACCCATAATGACTTCCTCTTATGTAGAGTTTAATCAGTGTGTTCCTGTAGATTGCACCCTCACCCTCATGAATAGAAATTAAGTGGAAGGTAGAAGGGCATTTTTATCCTGTGTGAAATTATGGTGTTGCAACTGAAGACACTCCTCCCTTTTGACTAACTTTCCACTGACATCACAGAGCCATATTTCTTGATTTGCAGTGAGGCTGTTGGGTGTAGACAGGAGGTTTGGCACTCCGTGTGTGTGTGTGTGTGTGTGTGTGTGTGTGTGTGTGTGTGTGTGTGTGTGTGTGTGTGTGTGTGTGTGTGTGTGTAGAGGGGAGGTAAGAGGTGAAAAATACTTATCATTTTCAGGTGTCAGAATATATTTTATTTTATGATCTATCTGTGCTCATGGCCTTTTTTCCCTGTTTGAGCTTGGATGCCATCCACATTAATGTTTTAGGCAGACTACCTCTCCAGATATGTTCAGCAGCAGGTGCTAATTAATTTAAAGGGTTGGCATGTATTTGGATGAAACATCCAGATTGTAGCAAAAGCTGACATATACACCCCTCTGCACGCATTTAGGTGAAACAGTAGTCTAGTTAAACATCACCTGGCATGAGGACAAGTTTCTTTGAAGAGGGCAAAGTCTTTTTCCAGTTGTGTCCTGTACTTTCAGGGGGAAGCATCATTGATGGCTCTGTGGAGACTGGGGCTGCCCTGTTGTTCTCTTACTCTGAGATTAATGATTAGATTCTGGTTTCTCCCATGAACCTCAGTGACATAGTCTCTTTCCAGACTAAATAAATAAATACATAATACATGGACTATGTTTGTAGTTTGATTCTGTTGTGTAAGTTTTGCTTATCACAGAGTAAACATCATGGGTGTTTACTGGTATTAGATGTTGAATGACATTGAACAAAATGGACATGAAGTAACAATCAAGACAGACACTGACTAAGTGTCAGTTTAATATGTAAAAACATGTTTGTGTGATGTTGAAATCGATCAGTGCCCCAGTCTACATAACCAAATACAATATTCTTATTTTGCCCATAAAATGAAGCCTTAAACAGACGCACATCACAATTTTGTCTGCGCTCCTGGATTGTGCTTATTTTTAGATATCTCCTACAACATATTCTCACTCACCTTTCACATTCAACTATGACTTTAATCTGAATGCTTGGAGTGCATCACTCTGCACTGCACACAGTGACAACCTTAATCTTTGTTAAAGGAAGGAGTTATTAAAAGAGTGTAGGAGACATGTTCCATCTGTAACTGGAGCTTTGAGGAGACAAATCCACTCACAGGTACTAAAGGTGATTAAAAAAAAAAAGCTATGCAATCTGTAGTATCAAATCTGCTCTGAGGGAAGGAGGCACTGACACGTTGTGCTCACTCACATCAGCTTCAGCAGTTTCTGTGTTGTCCTGCTGAAAGCTGAGGTTGTCAGAATAAGCTACCAGCTAGAAAAATGATGTACAAACGCAGTTAAGTTAAATTGAGCGTATTTCTCCGCCTTTTTTTGGCAGTGTTTAGAGTTGTCAGTCACTTCAGTAGATCAATAGATTATTCCACTTTGAGCAGAAACAATAATGCAAAAGCACGACAGGATATAGTTTGGCAGCTGGTATATGTAGGGTGGTTCAGTGTGGAAGGATGCATAAAGCAGGAAGTGTTTGCCCTTGAGACTATGCATTATTGTTAAATACAATAATAACGGTACAAGCACAATGTAGCCATTCTAGCTGTATGCACGCAACTGGACAGACAGTTTGAAACTAATCATTTAATAACACTACCACCAGTATGTTTCTGTCATACCACCGAGGAACCCAACTGGTTTATTACATTTTTAACCTTTAAGTAACCTTGACAGAAGTGTTTACGGATATGGAAAGCTATTTCGTTTAAATTGCAACTTTGATTTAGCACAGGCTTGAAGGAGACAAAAAAATGTGTAGCTTCCTCGATTGATAGGAAACAGCTGCTGTGGTAGGCTTGAGGTCTGACAGCTTATAAGGGCTCAAAAGAATTCATGGTAGGAAAAGAAAAAATACAAATGGTATGTCTTTAGTTTTGTTGCTGCATTTCTAGAAGAATTTCGTTATTTCACCAAAGTAAAAGCTTCACAAGACCTTTAAGAACTGTGGCACTGCCAACATTTGTAAAGAAAAACAAAGGAAAAGAGAAAAAAAGCCCTCACTCTCAAGGTTGAAACGCAAGCTGGGGGTCCTCAAAGATAGAAAACACACGCCATCTGTTACCAGCTGGCCAGTATCTAGCTCGGATGTGTATTGCTGTAATACAATGGCTCATTATTTAGAGCCTCACTCACACATACAATGGGGGCAGTTTCAGACCATCAGATTAGTGGAGATTGACCCCTTCTCCACCCTGAAGCAACTTCCCTTTTCCCTTAACCAATCAAAATGGTGGGTTGGCAGAATGTGTAATGTGAAACCCGGAGTCTTGGCTCAACACTTCAAACCTAGGGCACAGTTGGAGGCCAACAGAAACAACAGCTGTAGTCTTTCAAACTCTCCCACTCTCACAGATTTCCTTACTTTGTTATGCCCAGACAAACACCAAGTGTACCCGTGAGATACAGGCACACACCTCAGAGAGCACTGTGGGGTTTACAATGTGGACTGCTGCTATGGAATAACCATTTTGGAGGCTGGCTGTATGTGTTACCTGGACTAGCCTTGCTTTTGATAAGGACACTCCACGGACTTACTTGCTTCCTAGCCAATTGGGTAGTCATAGCCAATTGGAGGTAGTCAGAGCTTGCTACAGTCTTTGCAGGAGCCTGCAGGGCCCTCTTTCTGTGTGGAGGGTGGATGATGCAGTGTGTCCTCTCCTTCCTCTTCCCTCAGTTGAGTGCCGGATCCCCCTGTAGCTGCGAGGTCGGCCCCGGAGGAACCAAGAAGAAGAAATCCAAGAACCTGTGAGTATTCAAATCATATATGGATATGTCTATCGTGTTCCATTTATTTTGTCCCTTTGTGTGTTTGCTCATTTAGGAATTTGTAAGGATTTTCTTATCAATTACCCTGGTGCAACATTAAGACAATACACGAAAAACAGAGCATTGCTATTTAGATTTTAAATGCAGACTTTATTTGTGTATGAGAAGGAGAAGCGATTTGAGTGGTAATTAAATGACATGACAACACAGATCTGACAATTATATTAAATTCAGAGTTTCCACTTGGATGTGTCAAAAGAAATGTCCAATCAATAGTAGCTCTAAAGCTTACCCAGTACTCAAAGTTGGTACGATGCAGTGGACATTTTGGTACATAATCAAGATTAAAGGCTTGAGCCACCCTTTATTTCTTTATATTTTTCTTCCAAGGAGCCAGACCTTCTTGTTATTTTTTAAAATAATCTTGAGCATTAGTTCTTCAGGCTTTCTGAAGGTCTTTTGAGGTTTTTCCTTAGATGTCGGCTGCATTTTCACTCACCTTCAGTCCAGTCCTTTCAATAACGTGACATATTTTCAGAGGAATGTTTTTCTGTTTATTAAACCACCTAATGTTGACTTATGAACGATCAGGATAAACAAGGCACCTAATTCAAGGGATGAACCAGTGTTGCATCTACTCACAAAAGACATCTTTAGAAAGAACCAAAGTAACCTGTTGCAAAGACACTTGAATTGTTTCCAATTCTTTAGTTGAAGTTATAGAAAATGCCAAACACTGACAGGCATAAATTCATATTTTTTCAGCAACAAGGTGATTTTCAAATAGCTACTAGCCAAAATCTTGGCATATCTTAGCATTAAAGCCTCATCAGAACTCATCAGAAGTTGGCCATCAAGAAGCCATTCTTAAGGAAGCAAAACAGGGAGAAAAGGCTGAAGTATGCCAACTTTTAAGAACTGGGCTGAAAAATCAGTGACAATAGGTTTTATGGAATGATGAACCCACATTCATCATTTTTAATTCAAATTGTCATCATTGTATACAAAGGAGGTCAGGAGAGTAGGTGTCTAAAGCCATCTGGGAAACACGGTGGAAGCTCTGTCATGGTTTGGTTTGGGGCTGCATTTCACCCAGTGGTGCTGGAGATCTTGTCAAAACTGATGGAATAATGAATCCACAAAAGGAAAGTCAGATTTTTATCTGCCATGCAATACCTTATGGAAAAGATTTGGATGCCAACAGCTTAGTTTTTCAGCATGGAAATCATCTCAAACGTATTGCTAATGGAGTAAAAATGTACCTGGAAAAAACAGATATGAGTCATGGATTGGTCTCCCCAGAGCCCAGACTTCAACAGTACTGAAGCAGTGTGGGTTAATCGTGTGAGAGAATTGAACCAAAGGCAGCCAACATACAAAGAAGAGCTTTGAATGTTTTTGAAGAAGCCTGGAGAACTTTTCCTAAAGACTGCTTAAAGAAATGACAAGAAAGCTTGCAGAAGAGTTTATGCTATGTTGAAGAATAATTGAGCTCAAGCTCAGTAGAATTGTATAACTCTGTTTTTACCTAATATATTGTACTTCCATGTAGGTTTTTCTTTTGCCAAGAATAAAAAAAAATAATCAGCACATGGCGACACGTTTCCCAACTCAGCAGAAAAACAGCAAGTATGGCAGCCCTCCTGTTCATTCACCAGCCTTTTAATGCTAATGCAATCAACAGAGTGTACAATTTCACACCCCTCTGTAGCGTGGAATGTATTAAACAATCCATCAATCCAGTCACAGCCTTTGTGTGGCTGGATTGATGGATTGACGACTGAGAGTGTTAGGACAAATACTCAGTAGATGTCGAGTGTCATTTTAAAATTTAATTTAGATGAATTAAGGCAGATAGGAAAACTGTTGATGTGCTTCTCGGGTGTAAATATGACTAATTAATGTTGCACGCATAATATCTACATGTTCATGGACCTGCAAATGCAGAGATGTGCTATAGACTTTGAAAGACAAATGTGAAAGTTAAAGCTCATAGTGTAATGCTGCTCATCAACTGCTTAATGAAGCGGTAAATGAGGTGTATGGAACCATATGCACGTCTCATATTCTCTTTGAGGTGAGAAGTAAGGTGTACATGTTGGGGATGCACATGGGCGTGAAAGATGTGTGCGCTGAAGGCTCAGCAATTCATCGGCTGCTCGTTCTCTTCTTTGAAAAGATGAAAGCACATTTCTTACATTGCATACAATAAAACAGTAGCTGTCCTTGAGCCTGTTACTTTTTTGCAATGTTTAGTTAAAGAGCAGATTAAGTGATTAAAATTCCTCAGCTATTTTTTTCCCAGTGGTCTGGAGTATGTAGCCTGTTTGTCAGCTGTTGCAAACCTATTCAGCTTGTCTTCAATGTTTGAATAAAACAGGCATAAAAAGAATACAATATGGAATACAATATACTTTTAATGTGAATATATCGGGTGTGCCTATTTTACAATTCAAGACCCCAAACACAGAGCAAACTGATAATACTGAGCAATGTGTGCCTAAATAGATTAGAAAAAAATGTGACAGCTTGATTGACTGCAGTAGGTAGAAAAAACCTTTGTCATCTAATACTACACATGCTGTCTTCTGGCACAGCCAAGGCAAGTGCAAGCTTGAAGCATGGTCTACAGGCCAGTGATAAAGTACTGTAATTTTTTTTAATCAATATGTAATGCAGCGCTCTTCATTTATTTGCAGTTCATATTATACTGCAATATTGCAACGACACATAGGACTACATCCATGCAGCATTTCTCTTAAGTTTGAACTCTTCTAAACTGGCCAACAATCACACTGACATATTAGAGCGTCAAGGAAAGTATATAAGGAAAGTTAAAAAAAAAAGAAAAGAAAAAAAGATTACAGGTAAAAAAAATACTAATTCTCAAACTGCTGCTATTGAACCATAAGATTTGTACTTGATTTTTCTCAGCTGTAAGGTGGGACATTAGGGCCACATGAAGTAAACAATATTAGTCAAATTGTCAAAATGCGGAGATTAATCTTGCACCAGTCTCTGCTTTTGTCCTTGCTCTAATAAAAGGATGTTGTGCTTCTTGGGTGCCATGGCCTTCAGCTTAAGTGGGTTCATGCTGTGTGTGTTAGAGGCTAAGCAAGTAGCATTTCTACTACATGGTTCTGACACTGTTGAAGGTTGCATGAAAACAAAAGAGTTTTTTGTTCTTAAACTGTATGTCAGTCAGTCATGAAACTCTCTTCTGTCACCATCAGTCAGTAAAATAAGGATGACTCTAAATGTTCAGTGATGCGAGCCTCTTTTTGAATATACAGTTTTCACCCACTTCCAGTCATTTACCAATATGCCACACTGCAGACCAGTAGCAAGGGAAATATCTACTCATTAAGAAGAATTCACCAAAATTCTCTGTGCTATAGATTAAAATATGATGCACAAGCATGCTCGAAAGAAATTAAATATCAAATTACTTTGTTTGAAAGTAGGAGACTGATTAATAACATGGGAGCCGCTTGAGCGAGTAGATGTAGATTAGTGTAAAGCGGAAAAATTACATCTGACATGGCCAAATCATGCCAAGAATTAGCCATTTAAAACTTTAAGAAGGGTCTCTTTGGGCAAGGAACCAGAGGAGAGATGGTTGGGAGTGATGTGCAGCAAGAGGTCTAGATTGCAGCGACTCTGCCTCGCAATTCACAGGACTTCTGCTACTAACATCTAGGTGCCAGATACCACAGGGGACCTTTAGAGGTCTTACAGAGTCCATGCCTGGCTGGTCAGTGCTGTTTTTGCAGCAATACCAAAGCATATTAGGTAAAGGTGTTCCTAATACTTAAGTCTACATATGGCTTATGTATCTATACAACTTTATCTTGATCATCATTTATAGCAAAAAAGACACAAATATGGTCTTTCTTCAAATAAGCATTCTTTCTAGCATCTTTATTCCACAGACAATGGATCACTGCATGGTGACAGCACTTTCAAACCAGCAGCAATAAAATCCATAAATCTGATACATGTTGATAGGTTCAGGATCAGAATACCAAAGTGTTAAATTGTAATCCAACTTCACTTCAAAGAGATGCTAAATGCACACACATGGAAAAGGCACAAAAATGAAGAAAGATACTCAACAACTGTTATTGGAAACACAACGCAAATAAGCATCTGTTCATTTCTGCCATTCTGTCTGACTCATGTATAGATTTTACACTGAATATATGCAGTGTTCTCATTAGTATTGCTGGATAGAGATTGGCCGTCATTGAAATATAATACAGATAAAGCGGTTTCCTGCAAAATGATTAGTATCCCTGTAATTGGTGCCAAGGTACAAGAACTAAGTCATTTTTTGTGGTGTGAGAATTGGCCAAGTGTCCACTGAAATGCTTGCAAATTTACTGCTGAGATTAACTACTTAAAGTTCCTATTTTTGAAGAAAAGTCCAAGTTATGCAGATGATATATATTATTACACTAAACTATATATTTCAGCTTAATAAATCACACTAAAAACCACAAAAAAGGCATTTAGATGTCTGGGGCTCTTTCATCGTAAATTAAAGTGATGAAACCTCAATTTTCCATTGCCCTTGAAACTATTTACAGTTTATAGGTTCATGCAGTGATAGCTCTACTGCAATGCTGAATACTTGTTAGTTCTACATGATCAGTCAGTGCTATGCTGTATGAGTCCTGCTACTGTTATAGCGCTCCATACAGCATTGTGGGATTACACAAATTCTTCTTTCTTGTCCACATTTATTCTATATTAGCCAGTACACAGGACAGCTAGTGTGCAACTGTTTTCTACTATCACGGTTTTTAGGTCCAAGCGACACAGTCTCAGAGGCCACTGTAGCTCCATGCTAAGAGAAAAAAGGTCTTTAAGCAAATTGTTCTGATGCAGCTCGTCACCTTGGACCGAAGACCCTCTCCCATTGTAGTCCAAGCCTCTCAAACCCCAATTGAGGGAATCTGCCTTTAAACAGTCCATGTGGATTGAGTGAGCCCAGGGTCCGCCTTCTCCAGACCCTTAGGGCTATATAAAGCTCCACCAGAGCCTCTCAGGGGTTAGAGGAATGTGATTGCCAAACAGAGCCCTGGACTTTTGACACACACTCACATGCAGTACATACAGCCTTCATGCTGGCACCCATGCTTCACACGATGGTTGATTTCTCAGAGAAATACCTGGAAAGGTAAGAGCAACTGTGTTGGGCGTGTGTGGATTTAACTGCGGTTTGAATGTTGTTAACGAGAATTAGAAACATCAGCAGGGAGATTGAGAAAAGTGTGAGCAGGGGCTGGTTTGAGTCCCACATGGATTATTGCTCTTAGGCTGGTAGGAAGCTATCTGACCTCTACATGGATCTCATTTGACAGTCACAATGAGGGAAAAGAGTCCCCCGCGAGGCTGAAGGACTGAGACTATTTTGGAGGAAACAGCTTTTACTTCTAACTTGAGGCTGTCCCTTTTTCTTAATATACGCAGCCTGGATTTCAGGAATAGGATTGCTCATGTGGTCTTTGTGGCTAGGAAGGTGAGTTTCTCTGAAATAGAGCTCTTTTTTTAGCCTTGATTGAGGGAGATGGTGGACGTGATGGTGTTATATTTATAGACAAAATTTAGGACAATTCCCTTTTTCATTGTTCTTCCAGGAATATTCAAGGGCTACTTCCTGTTGGTTATGATTCCCATGATTATTATCTTGATGAATTTGGCTTGTGTTTCTGGACACCACTGTTTCGTGAGTGAAGAATCTACAATGCAAGTGCTTACAATTTCCCCACATAAATCTCACAGTTATTTTGACACAACCCTTGACCCGTTATAGCGACACACACACAAATACACAACAGGCACATGTGCCAGCACAGCGTTATTTGTGTGTCATGTCCAGCATCTAGTTCACAGGCAAACGGCCTTGAGTAAACAAGATCTGCTGGACACAAGACTGCGCAAATATGGGCTTAACAAAAGTTTAAGCACAGTTATTATGATAAATGTAGTGAGCGGTATACTGCAATGAAGTGGAGGATTGGATTTGTCTTGTGCTTATATGGTACACTGTGCTCTGCAATATGTCTGTCTACAGCTGTCTCCCCATGTGCTACAAGAGCCTTTCCCAGAGAGTGCGGCCTACTTTCAAGAACACCAGGAATAGCCAGGGGGGTGCTATTAGTACGACTAATGTGAGCCAAGCAAAGAGGGAATAAAGAGCATGGAAACCTGCAGATAATTGCAGCGCAAAAGACCTTTTGCTCCTTCACTCAAGCACGTAAAAGTGTTCTCTCTCGCAGAGAAGCAAGCAGGCGCATAGCGTGCGTACACATTATACCTGCGCCTCACTTTTTGCAGTGGTCACTGTGTTTAATAAAGCAAAAACAGCAGCATAGATATGGAAAAGGACTAGAGGCCGATTTAGAGCTCAAGAGAGGCAGTAAAGAGGAACTTTAAATAGAGAGGTACTCAAGGTCAGAGGCTGTGAGGACTGCGACTGTGTATGTACCATTAACACATAAAGAGCAGAGGTACAAAGAGCACCGGATAGATAACTGTTCAGCACAGTATTATGGTTAAGTGACTTTTGTCAAGTACAAGAAGACTTTCCATCTCCAGGACTGAACAAAATGATACGTAAAATTATGTAACTGCACTTTCTTCTGCCTTTTTATGTGAGAAGCAGCAGGCTTTGCCAGTATTACAACTGCTTCATGTTTTTATGTTGCTCTTTTATTATTTTTATATGTGTGCTAATGGTTCAAAGGGGCTTTAACCAGGACGTTCTTCCTTTGTTTGGGTGATTATTTACATTAATGTGATTGTGAAGAGTCGTCCGCACAAATCACTTAATCTAGCTCTGTAAGATAGTGAAAACCAGGACTATGAAAGCCTTTCTTGAATTGGTGGAAGTGGTGTTTACTTCCGTTGACCAAATAATCACACACGCAATTTATTTCATGGCTGCAGCAGCAGAGTTCCTGCAATTACTGAAAGGCATACACAGAAACAAAGTGTTAATGCACTCCAGGCTGTGTTGATTTAAATAGAGAATGGTAACATGTGTCACTTATTCCACAGCTGGCATTGTGTTTGAGTTTGTTTGTTGTTGTTTTAAATGGATGGAAAGATCATTTAAGAAGATGATGTAAGCTGCTTGGGTGTGCAGTATCCAGTGGCATCCACTTGGTGGCAGAAGAGAAACATACATTTCCTTTAGCTGTTGTGACATCATTGTCACATTATTGACACATGGGCTCAGCTTGTATAAAACCAGACAGAAATACATAAAGCAGCTTTGTGATGGGAAGAGTGAATTTTTCAGCTCTTATAAAACGCTACTTTCTTTTTTTTAAACTCACATGCACTTGCAAGACAGAGCTTTCCTTTATGTTAACACACGCCCAGCTTAAACGTAAATTGCTTCGGGTACAAACTAAATATAGAACCGTCTAATAAACCCGGCCCTGATGTTACGAGTTTTTTTTAACAGCACAAGGTTTTTCTTTTTCTTTCCCAGCAGTAATATCCTTCAGACTCGAGCGGTTCACGAGGATGCCGTGTAAGAGCCCTGTACAGCAGTTAAACATCTGGATTTGAGTCTGTTTCACGCAGAGCGCTTGTGCTATAGCAATCAATGGATGAGTCATCTTCTCTTAAAGATATTTCCATTTCCCCGGTTACCTGGCCTGAAAAAAAGGCTCTCACATGGATTTTTCTAGATCTATATCACAGCTACAGGGCTTTTTTCATAGAACATTTGCATTTTTCACCATTTCAGCATTAAAGGAAGTACAAAGGAGCACAAGAGTGATAAACACAGGCCCTTTTAGTTCCTGTTAATTTCACTGTACCAAAGACTGGCTGCATTTCTCCATCAGGGCACTTATTGTGTAGTTCTAAATTAATGGGAGGGAATGTAACAAAGCAGCCAGAATTTTAATTTGCATCTGATTTTAGACAAGAAGGGCAGGTGCTTATATTTTCAAAAAATATAGGGTACCGGTATACTAATGCTATTAGTTTTTCTAACAAGGAAGCCAGTTTTTCCACAAGAAATTCTCTGCTGCTGCTTGTTTGCATGAAATCAGAATACCGTGTGATTTGAAGCAGCTTGTGATCCATTTATTTCCTTCTGCTGATCCAGTCCTGGGTCATGGGAGACTAGAGACCATCCCAGCTGCAAACTAAAATAAAATTTAAAAAAATCTAAAACAGGAATATTACTATCTCTAAACATCTTCCAGAAAGATAATGAAAGCAAGAAAAACATAAATAGATAAAAGATCTCATCAGCACTTTCTTTTTCAGGTTACAGCTCTTTACAGTTTCCTTCTTTCTGGACTATCCCACAAGCACCCCATGTGAAACCATAAGTCTGAAAAGTGCAAATACTCCTTTTTTGTGGTCACACGATCCTGATTTTAAAGGAGCGATTAGCATTTTGCTAACCGTTCGTGCACTTGTGTGGTTACATGTGTACAGGCATGTTTCTACTTCACCTGTCCTGCAGCCTTTGGAAAAACTCAAATCAGCAGCGAACTTTGTTCTCTGTAGCTGCGACGCTGCGTTTAAGCATTGCAAAAATTGCAAAAATATACACAAACACACTGGTAGAGACTTTGAGTTTTCCAACACCTGTCTGGCATGAAAGCTCCAGTGAAGTGGGCACGAGCTGGCACAGGTGCAGAGGGGTTCTTTGAAATGGTTGTATGTCTGTTCTTTTATTACTCTCCATGAATATTCACGTGCTATATTTGTGCTAATCCGCAAGTGCCGGGCTCTTCCGTCCTCCTGTGTGTGCATGTTTGAATGATAGCTGTCTATAACTGGAAGCCCTGTTTCTTAATTTGGGGTGTGCATGCTCTCCTGGGGGGGTTGTCAGTTGGCAGGGGGACAGTTTGCAGTGATTAGAGCCAGCCCAGCGCACAACGTTGTGCTGCATTATTAGCAGGCCAGTCAATCCACAGTGGAAATCAAAAGCAGGGACTCAGGAAATGGGTGTTGAGTGAGGTCACATCCCAATGAGGCAGCACGTGCTCCAGGTCAGGAAAAGCCAGGACACGCACCATGGGATTATGGGAATACGCAGAATCCTGCTGGGGGGGCCCATGGGTACAGAGGACTGGTGTGCTACCTTATCTGAGACTCGATGTGGCGCATGCGCAGCAGGGCGTCTCTGTGTGTAAGATGGTTGGAGAAAGGTGAAACAGGTGAGGTGGGCGGTCAGGAGGGTGTTGGGTGCTGCTTCTGGATGAAAGCAGCAGAGCACTTGGGGATGTCACCATGCGCCTTTGGCCTAGGTCAGTTTTCTCTCAGAAACCCCTCAAGGCACACGGAGAATGGCGTGATGAAACAGAGGAGTGAGGACTGAGTCTCTCTCCTCCTTCTCTGCCACATTCGTTTAGTCCCTGCCGAGGAACCTGCCAGGGACACATCTACAGGAAAGGCTGTTAGAGAAATTAGATTGACACGAGAGGCGCTGACAAGAAGCGGCGAAAAAAGGAAATTGACATCTGCTGCTGGAGAATTCTGTGCCATCACACCAACATATCCGGCTGACAACTAGAATGTACATAATGCTTATCTCCTTGTTTTTCTGGCTTTTGATTGGTTTGCTTTTGTATGGATTGGATTTACAGCACCGTGGAGCTTAATTGCTGATTCCATGCGTTGGATTGTTTCAGTTATGGATTTTGGACTTGGAAACTCAACAAACTTTCTTCCCATGTCTCCTTTTTTTTGTCTTCCTTCTCTATCCACTTTATTTCATTTTCTTACCCTTCCTTCCTTCACATCACTTCCTCCTCTCTTCTACCTTTCTTTCACTCAGGGCCAAAGACATGAAGAATCGGCTGGCTTTCCTGCGGAGGAGGAATGAGTCCCCAGGAAGCAACCCAGCCGGGAAGTTAGACAAATCTATGAAGTCAGTCAAGTAAGTGGCCACTTCCTGACAGCATGTGCTTGTGGGTGTGTGTCAGATGGTTTTCTGGATCTCACCACAACTGGTGATGACCTGGCTCTTGGAAGACAGATATGTGGGCAGAGATGGGAGTGTGCTTGCAGTTTGGCATCAATTAAATGAATGGGAGAGTGTGTGAGTAAGGCTGGCATGCCAGAAGGAAGGAAGGCATAATGCTTGGATGCAGCCCTTTAACTTCTCTGTGAACTATATTCATCAGTTGAGTAGATTCATATTTATTTGTGTGGATCATTTGGCATCAAGTAGGCAGAGTAGATATCCATCCCCAATGTATTCAAGGTATAGCTAATATAACCATAATAATCATAGTTTTTGTGGCAGTGCATCTTATCTGGTCTGCTCGATTTAAAAAGGAAGTTAATCTGTCTTTATGTCATTACTTAGAAGATGTAAGAACAAGGAAAAAGTGTAATATGCAACAAAGTTTGTTGGCGAGTCAGGTGAGATAATAGAATATACTATGAAACTAAACTATTGTCCCAAATAAGGCCTGACACGTGGATTGCAGCGGGCTAAGATTGGCCGTTAAAAAGGCATACTTCATTGCAGGATACAAAAAAAGAGGCAGCAGGGGGCAGACAGATACCCATATGAGTAGGAGGTCTTAAACCAGGCTGCGCATCCTCATTGGCTGGCTGAAGCCACTCCCCCTCTCCACTGCCTTCCAAGTTGCATTGAATGCAACTATAAAAGCCTCCCCCCACCACTACAGTGGAGCAGACTCATGGCTCTCGCTGTTGTGGCCATTCATAAGGTAGAACCGAATGTGAGAGACTAGACACAGAGTGGAAGTGGCAGTGAGAGATAGAGAGATAGAGGACGTGTCTGCATCTGCATTTCCTCTCACCTGCCCAGCAAAGTGCTGCGGATGGGTCACACAATGAGAAACCTGGCTGAAATGGGCTTGTTAAAGAATCGCTCTGCTTTCATCTGCAGGCCCACCCCAGAGGAAGCGCTCAAATGGGGGGACTCGCTTGATAAGCTGCTGTCTCACAAATGTAAGTGGCTGGATTTTTTTCCTTTCTTCTCTCGACTTTTGCCTCATGTGTTTTACATTCTTGTGTTTTACATTGCTGTTTAGTGCAGCATGGTTTTAGACTCAGAGTGCATGCTTAAGGTAGAGAAGGAAGTAGATGAGCACTGAAACTATGCACTTACATGCACACACATACACGTTGTTTATGTAAATGTGCAGCTTTCAGCAAGTTTCCATAACCTAAAAGACACTATTCATAATTGAGACAGAATGACAAAGTGAGACCAACACAGGCATCTCGCTCTTGTGCTGCTATTCTGAGGTTTTCCACAATTCATCACCCACAATCTGCTCCCGATTCTTTTACAAAAGCTGACACGACGCCAGCGCTACATCTGCTAGTCATTCGGTTTTGCTGGCCTCTTTATTTGCTCTCTTTTAATTTCCTTACCTCATTCCTGCTTACCAGAATGAGGTAAGAGATGACTGCGTGCATTGGCTCTGCTTATCACCGTGGGTGATTCATGGGAACGGAAAGGTGCAGACAGGAGCTGTGGGAGGACAAGGTTTCCTGCTATTCTCTCTCCTGGATGCCTTCTTCCTTAAATCATTAACAGTACCAAAACTTTAAAAAAAAATCAGACCAAAGTGCCTCATAGTTATCCCCCCCCCCCTTTACACTGAAACAGTCACTTCTTTGTTCATTCGCAGCTTGTGCACAGGAGCAGCATTGCCATCATGCCCCAAATATTAAGGAATTACAGAGTCACAGGGGTGATGTCACTTAAAAGGCTGTTGAACAGTTGAATGTGCGCTGCTGTATTCAGGTTCTCTTTTTTTTTTTTTTTTTTTTCACGATTCACTTTATTCCAACCACATGACTCAAAAGGACGTCACCGAGTTATTTTTAGACACTGAAACTCTGAGGAGGGCTTCAGCTTTGAGGTTGCCATGGCACTTTAGTCAACTCTCTCCTTGTTTATTCTCCTCCTTCCCCTCCCACCCCTCTGCTTTCCCCTCAGATGGTCTGGCAGCATTCAGAGCTTTCCTGCGCACAGAGTTCAGCGAAGAGAATCTGGAATTCTGGCTAGCATGCGAGGAATACAAGAAGATCAAGTCACAGTCCAAGATGGCCTCAAAAGCCAAGAAAATATTTGCAGAATACATCGCTATCCAGTCTTGTAAAGAGGTGAGTGCGAATGAACGCAGCCTGTAAAAAAAGGGCTTGAAAATGGTAAAGGAAACATGCATTTATTCCTGGACTTATTCTCACTTATTTTGGTTCTGCAGGTAAATCTGGATTCATACACTAGAGATCACACTAAGGACAACCTGCAGAATGTGACACGCTCCTGCTTTGACCTAGCTCAGAGGCGGATATACGGGCTGATGGAGAAGGACTCATACCCCCGATTCCTGCGCTCTGAACTCTACTTGGACTTAATCAACCAAAAAAAGCCTAGCTCCACTTCAACTTCATCTTCGTCATAAGAGACTAGAAAAAAAAGAAGATGAAGAGAAGAGAAAGATGATGAGAGTAAAAAAGAGGCCAGACTTGAAAAGTTATACGTAGAGTGGGTGGGATGTGCGCTTCTTTGTCTGCCTTTATTTTTTATTTTTGTCCAACAGTTTGTTCATTATTTTCTGTTGTGGTGTGAGAGGTCACGGCAAACATATGGCACTGCAAAGGAATGTAGTTTACATAGTTATGGGTGAGTGGCTCGACTGATGAGTGGATGGATGGATGGATGCAGACGCCCATGAGCAAGGGCTGGAGCAGGAGCTGGACGCTTGTCTCATCACTGATTTTTGTTCTCCTTTTTTCATTCATATTGTCAGCAAAAAAAAAAAATCAATTTGTTTGTGTTTTTGTCCAGTTGTACTGGAGTAAAGGAGGAGTTGCATCATAAAAAAAAAAGAGAAATCCCTGCGACACGAAGACAGTCCGGTACTGTTTTATCACTTTTCCGCCCCCTTCCTTTATTTCTTTTGAGAATTCCCTGCTTTGCTCCATCACGTCTCTCTCTGCGAAGCAACTTCAAAGCTGTCGGTACGACGCGACGTCCTCTTCCTTCACGTTCTCTCATCAGACTCTGTGACAGAGGAGGAAAAATCAAGCTGATGTCTGAATGAAAAGCCACCGCCATGGCTCTGGTTTCACACGCATCCGTTTAAACCCTGCTTCCGCTCGAAGCTTCTATAAATGGCTTTCACCTTAGTTTGTTCATAAGACTGTGGAAAGACGACGTGAGTGTTCAGCACAAAGACAAAGACGGGCAAAGAACACAGACGTATAAGTAGTAGATGGACTGGAGCTGTGACAAAACACAAATATGTGTCTCACATTAAAAGACATTAAAATCTACAAACACACAAAAAAACCCAAGACGACTTGCTTCCCGTCTCCATAGACTGTTTACGACAAGGAAGGAAAATCCAAGAGGAAGAAGATTAAAAACATCTCCTTTAACATTGTAGCTCATTATGGACTAATCAAGGAACCATTCTCAGGACATTGCTATGACAGGTTACTGCTTAGTTTATGTGCTTTTCTGTTTCTGTTTTTATACACAGTTTTTTTTACATGCTTTAGGGTTCCAACATGCACTCCCCGCTCTTACTGAGCAATACACGAGAGGTTGCTCGTTTCACAGAGAAAAAAAAAAAGCTTCACATGTACAAAGGTTTGCTATTTATTTAGATTAACTTGCTGGATGCTTCTGCAGACTTCCTCACGTCCTCCAAGGCACTCAGCTGAAAGCTCTCACTGTTCAATTTAACCACCAAACAGGTCCAGTGCTGTCCTGAACTTTTAAGTGCAATATTTTATTGTTTCTTTTTATTTTTTATTTTATTTTAATATGATATTTGGTTTGTTTCTTTGGTCGTTTTTTTAATGGGGAAGACAGAACAGTTTGAGCTCTGTATTAACTTTATTTGTTAAGAGAAAAAAAATACTTAGAGCTATAAGGTTGACTTACAGCGTAAACTTTCAAGAAGCATAAGTAGTTTAAGCAAGTGATTCTAACTGTGTTAACTCTCCCCTCCCCCCCGGCAGCAGGCAGCTGGGGGAAGGGGGCAATATGGTTGTAAATATAATTCTTTAAGAAAAATATGTGATAGCACATTTAAAAAAAAAAAACGAAACAAAAAAACCCCAAAAAAGCCAAACAAGTCCCTGCTGGTGATGAACGTGGGACCCGGCTGTATCTATGTAAATATGAGAGACTCAAAACTATAAGATGACATGTATTGTTTAAAAAATAAAAATAAAACATTAGGTGAGCGAGAGCAGGTACAGTCTGCTCTTTTCCCTGGTCATACACTGCTTGTAAGGAGTATCATTATCACTGTTTACAATTCAAAATGCATCTCCGGTAATAGCAAGTGAAAACAGTAGAGTACATGTGGTGTCATTGCTAATGATAAATAAACCAACCAACCGATGACATAAGATGTCTCTTGTCTGTGCATTCTTTTTCTTTTTTATGTTATTTTGTTTTTAATGCCTATCTGTGTTGGTCACAAACATGCTGAGATGTAATGTGATGTGCTTTTCAGGTGGTCCGTGAGCTCCCGCGCACTCCCAGAGAAACAAAACACATGCATTAAGCATGAAGTTTCTCGAAGGAAGTGTTGACATTTTGGAAAATGCATTCATTTGCCTTTTTTGAAGCTAGCCTCGGCACATAATTATATTAGGTGAGCATAAAAACTGGATGACATTTAGTCTGGCTTAGTCCAAGCACACACCAGACGTCTTTTGAAAGGAAGTTGTAATTTTGGGCAGTTTTTTGAGTTACATTAATTTCTTTCCACACACCTATCAAGCCGCAACTCCAGTTTTTGATATGTAACAAGTCTTGAGTGTTTGAACTGAGGCTCATCCAAGAGGCGATGCTACTGATGGAAGTATTTAACCCAGAGTGGGGCTGTCCACTTGGTGGTCCTGAGGGTTCAGTCACTATTAAAAACGTGACTGAACTGTGAAAAAAGAGGTGGGAAATTTCCGATGTGAACATTATGGACTGAGAAGATCAAACTATCTGGAGAGGAGTGAAAGAGGTCATCTACGTCCATTGTGAACGACCATTGTTGAACAGAGGTGGTGGCTTTTGACACCAGCTGTCAGCCACCTACAACTCAGACTTCTCAGGCGATTCAACCCCCACTCACCCCTCGACCTGTGTGACCTTAAGAACTCACATGACGGCAAGGTGGGAAAGAATTCACTCCTCGGCCACTGTGGCCATAATGACCCACACCTTGTTTAACGCCTTTAAAAAAAGATCCTTTTTATTAATTTTTTAGTTTTATAATAAATATTTAAACTGCCAAATATAAAACAATTAAAATAGACAGTTGTTTTCAAACCTTGCAAACGCTCAAAAAGTGTGGCTTTAGAAAACAATTTGGAACAATGATTGTGAACATTGAGACTTGCCCTGATCCCAGCTGTCTTGTTTTCTTAAAAAAGGACGGTGTAAATGTGACACAGGGTCGATGGCTGGCTGGGTTTTTGGGTTGGGATGAGAGAAACAGTTGGAGGTCTATGAGAGTCGTGTGTGTGTGTTTGTCTGTGTTTTTTGGAGGGGGGTTGATCAGTCTGAAGAGGCGTTGGAGACAGTAGTAACAGCACCTAATCCTCTTTACCAGTTGCCATCTGTTTTGACAGACACAGCTTCTTTTTTCCAAAAGTGCTTCCTCTCTGAAGTGCTTCCCCTTGGCCGTCTCTGTGTATTGAAAATATATACTTTAGTTCATTTTCTTTTTTTTTTTGCTCATCCTTTCTACCAAACAAAGTTCATACGCATGAGCTACTTTGCCAATTCTTTTTCCTTCCTTAATGTCATTTGTGTCACTGTTTTTAAATTCAGCTGTCAACTCCAAAACACATCCATCTCACATTTCCTGCTCAGATCCCTCATGTCCCGCAACCATGTCTCTCAGTCTTTCCTCCTCTGCGACAGCCTCTTATCGCACCATTCCCGTCAAGTGATAACTTGCTACCAGGATATTGCATGACAGCTAGTACAGTTAGTTTCATTTTTTTATATCATTTTTTACTGTACTTTGCTTTTCAGTTTACCAGCATTCACAGGCACACATAAAAAAAACTAGAAAAAGAATAATATATAAAATTCCAGTTTCTGACTTTAACTTTCCCGCTTCTTGATTTCTTAGTTTTTTGCATATATTTGTCATACTTGCATGTTTCAGATCATCAAACTAATTTTAAGAACTGCAGGTCTCACTTCCCTCAGTTAATGTCAGTGTTCATGACTCACAAAAGGCTTGTCTCACATAAACAAAAAGCATCTTAATGATCCACAAGACTTTGGGGAAAATATTCTGTGGACTGACAAGACAACAATTAGACTTTTTTGTTACATCTGGTGTAAAACCAACAAAGAATTTGTTGATGGCTATTTAAAGCTCTTCTTTGGATGCTAGCTGCCATTTGTTCCATTCTCTGTCAGATGATCCCCCACTGCGTCGATAATGAATGATGGATTGGACTCCTGGGAGGCTGATAGTGTTATATTGTGTGTTTTTCTATCTAAATATGCTTTTACTATATTGCTACCATGGATGCAGCCACTCCCAATCAATTGCTGGGATGGTGGATCCAAATCACATGGTGCTTTCCTGCCTTCATAGTTCCATCTGTTTTGGCAACATCCCAAACCATGACAGAGCCTCCACCAGTCCAGTCCTTGAACCTGAAAATAGTCAAGTACAAGACCAGACTGACACTAAGTGAAAAAGCAGCCACTGTCCAAGAAAAAGTTTTGAAAGACTTTCTTAAAAAAAAAAACAACCTTGAGAATTATTGCTCAAGATTACTTTATGAAATTTTTAGCCTGTATTCTTGTAAACAAAATACTAAGAAATGAGGGGTGACTCAATACTTGTTCACAGCACAGCATCACACAGTAAGTGACAAAAGACGTGAAGCACATCAGACGTATCCATTTATGATTTGAGTACTCACAGGTTCTATTTTTGGTTTTTCTGGGGCTGACCTCGCAGCTACAGGGGGATCTCACACCAACTGAGAGGCGAGCAAAAGGAGGACACTCTGTATAATTCACCCTCCACACAGAAAAAGACTATAGCAAGCTCTAACTACCTATGCAATGACAACCCAAATGACTTTCTAGCTATCGAGCAAGTAAATTTGTGTCAAGCTAATCTAGAGTGAGGCTAGTTCAGATAAGACACACAGCTAGCTTTCTGTTGCTTATTCCATAGAAGCATGACACATTCTAGCTAGTTTTGCACAGTACTGCATATTGCTGCTGGAAAAAGTTGGGAATCTCTGTTTAATTTGGTTGCTTCAGCCACTCAAGGAAGTTTATGTGACTTGGTTTAAACTTGGATTGCCAATGCCGCTTCAAATAGCTTTATACACCATTCGTAACAGCATTTCCAAGAGTGTTTCAAGTTCATACAATTTATGTCAGAAATATTAAAACATATGTTTAACATCATCACTGGGCCATCACTGGGTGATATATATAATATATGTTGGATATTTTGCATAGTAAAGAGAAAGCATGTGAACTAAACAGAATCATGACACACTGTCTTGCTGGATTCAGCGGCGGTTCCCTGCTTGTATCCCATGTATCTGTGCAGCAGTCACAGGGGCTTAAGCCTCACTTAATCCTTAATTCTCAGATCAGCCTATCCTTTCAGCTCTGGCACGTTTGCAAAAGAAACATCATATCTTCCCTTCTGCACTCGATGACTCAGCAAACCCCTCAATCCTGGATGCTGTTGAGGGACTTTAATCTGCGTTTATTTGTTCCTTACTCCAATGTGTGCATCAATAAACAAGCCTGTTATGTTAACACTATTAGCCCAAGTCCCAGCAGTTATTTTAGAACAATGATGCAGATACAAAAGAGGTATTCATTCTGCTACATTCACTGCATTTCCTGACCAAATTCATGAGAGTCAATGACTCTGGAACCCTTTTGCACATGTGGATGGGAGTAGAAAGAGAATAAACTTTCTTTTTTTCTTTTATATCCTTAAACTACATAAAAAAAGTGTCAGTGCATTTTCCCTTGTGTCTTATTTAATTTCCTCAGAAAGATATACAATTATCTTCTGAGATTTTATCCTTATCGAGCTGTTTTCACATGAACCCGATTCATTGTCCTAACAAAGCTAATGAGATGGAGAGCAGTGATGTCCACAAGTGAACCTGACAAAAACAAAGATTTAAGGTAACCCCTGGAGGTAAAGAGGAGAAAAGGCAGGTGTTCCACAACAAAACACTTTAAATGATGAATGCTGTGAGTGAAGTAACGCTAATCCTAAATACACTTCACTAATAGGATTGTAATCAACTGAAAACCCACTGACTTCATCAGATTACAAGCCAGGAAAACCATACAGTCAGTGTTGTTACCTGAACCTGCTTCTTGAATAGAACATAAGATGTCTACATTTAGATACATCCGTAATTACGTCAGTGCCATGAAATGCTTTGTTCTGTTGGTTTTATTAATTTGCTCATCTGGCATAGGCTCCTTGTCCCCTGCTAAGTTGAACTAAGTGGAAAAACACGGATGGATTTCTGTCTCCCCAAAAACTGCTTAAACCAACAGGGAAAAAATTCCCATTCCCCTCTTTTCCTGCTCAGCATTATCATGACTAAAATATTGATGAAGTCCCTTTTTTTTATAAAAGGAAGAGGAAAAAAGTATGTTTAGAAAAACGTTTCTGGTCCCAGATTTGATTCTGCCAGCTGGTGTCTGCCTGTGTGGGCTGTTTTCAGTAAGGTGGGGCTTTAATCTTTACAGATAACAATAATTAAAAACAAAAAACACACACAACCCCCCCCCTCCCAAAAAATATATATAAATAAATAAAAATAAACACAGGAGCACCAAACAGAGATAGTCAAACTAAAATTAATTTTAATACTTCCATTTGGCAAAATAGAGAGAACAACGAAACACAAAGGGACCTTTACATAAACACAGATTGAGACAGAGGGACCTCTACATTGGAGAGACCAAACAGCCAC